CTACTGCAGGTCGAGACCACGCTTGGACCAAGTTTGCTGCCCAGCTGACAATTCTGCCTCGTTTCATGACGCTGTCAGGCTGCAGTTGAATACAGTGTCTTGCAGGGCGCAGAATAAATTTGGGGCTCTTCCTGCCGAGGCTCTGCCATGAGCCCCCACGGCCTGCTCTGTACTGCACCCCGCCTCCACAGAAGCTTGCTCCCTTCAAAAAATACGGTATTCTGCACTTGAATTCTAGTAAAAAAGCAAACATGAGTGAGGAAAGGGAATCCTAACATTTTATGGTTAAGTTGGTATTTGGGAAATGCCAATTTGATGCCAAATTGTGATAATTTTGTCTTGTGTTTAAGTAATGTTTATGTGACATTTCCCCAAAGCAGCCCTGCCGGTTACTCAGAAACAGTGAGCTATGTAGTGCCTCCTCTCTGCGTGTTATAAAACTTGCATGCCTGTTTATTTCTACTTGAATAATCCTCTAAGATGTTTCATACCCCTCTCTCTGATGGTTCCTCCACTCAGAAACCAAAAGACTTAGACGTGGTGTCTTATGGACGCATTTCTCCTCCCCCATCAGTCCCTCTCCACGGCAGCTGAAAGGGAACTGGCAGCAGCCACAGCTGTGGTGTTTTCTGCCCTCTGATGCACTCATCTCCATGCCGTGCTGTTATCTTTAGGATGGGTATACAAAACTCATAAGCTTTTCAACATGTCCTCTTTCTCTCCCATTCCAGCTTACTGATCTAAACCATGCTTTAGCTTACTGGCATAAGGTCTGCTGAAAGGATGTTTTATTTACTTTTTATGTAGCTTTAAACTGCAATTTTTTTAAAATGGCTTAGTATTCGTCCCACATTAAGATCATGTTTAGGCTTGAATCCTTGTTCCAATGAACTATACAAAGGTCGTAATAAAAATGCCTGCGCAACACTCTCATATACACACTCATACACATATGCACAGCTTTCTAATACACTAAAGGCTCCTGCAACTATGCTCAGGTAACACCCAACTGCATTCAAATCCATGCTGATCACGTCACAACCACAAAATCTGAGTGAGAGACAGAGCCGATAGTGCCACCTTGCCATCCCATGCACTGTCCTGCATTTCACTGAGGATGCTGGCACCAGGGCCAGGATGCTGGAATGCAGGATGCCCTGCTCCTGTTGCCACCTTGCAGCCCAATGCAAAACCATGCCCGGCGACTCCGGGTGCCTGGACCTGAAAGCATCCTTTCTCCCTCCTTTTTAAGCATAAGGCGCCATCCCACAAAAGAAGGCGCTCTCGCCTTCAAAAGGTTTCTGTTTGTGCGTCGTGGCCTGCCCTGAATCAGCTGCATTCATCAGCTCGCCCTTCGTCTCGGGCTGCTCCCTGTCTGGCTGCAGATTCGGGAAAACACTGAGCAAGAGCCAGATATAAATCTCTCCCGCTCAAAGGAAATATTTAGCAGCAAAATGAGTAGAAAACAAAAGACTTCTCTGTTACTCACCCAGTCCTCTCACTCAGGGTATCTCTATCTAACAAGCAGAAAACTGAGCGCTCCTGCCTGGAACGGCTGTGCCAGGGGGATGGGGAGCAGGGCTGCCCCATGCCTGGGAACCCACTGGTGCGCCCAAATGGCCTCAAGCACTGGCTGGGAAAGGTAGAGCTTTTTCCATCAAGTCCACTGCTTGGTAAGCATGAGAGGCCTGCTTAGGGCAGTGAGGGGGAAAAAAAATCCCAGTTTCCTGTTAATTCTGCAAAAAGAAAACTCCAGACAAGTTAACACAATTTTATGTACGTTTTAAAAGCCGAGGAACACTAATCCACAGCTTATCGGTGTTCTGCTCTTATTTCCTGCTGTATGAGCTGTTCTGAAATTTAAGATGTAGGATGCAGATCAAGCTTGTTCCTCTTTTTATTGCAACTTTGATTGTATAATTCAGTAATTCTCAAGAAAGTCTGGAAAGACCAAGTCTTCACATGAATTCATTGAGATGACTGCGCTCTGGTGCTCTGACACAGAAACTTCACAGGTTTCTATTGTAAAATGTTTATCACAGAGACAGGTAGCCATTTCATAAGCAATAACACAAGAGAGACAGCTAAGCCATTTTACTCAGGAAAGTCCTTTTGGGAAGGCAGAGGTGCAGGACAGGGTGTCCAGCAGAACTGCCTGATGGCACGAGGGGCTGGTTTGGACTTGCTCAATGCAGAAACATCAGCATGTTTTGTTAATCCAGCAGGACAATGTAAATAAATACATGACCCACAGGAAGCAGAGAGATGCGATGCATGCGTCTTTATGTCACTGCTTGAATTCTTGCCCAAATGCCACCACTCCTGTGCTCATTCAGTATCTTGCAAAGTAAAGGCCTATTAAGCATTACCCACACAACTGAAAATTTCTCTTCTACAATACCACTAGTTGAGCTCTGTATGACCACTAATTCATTTTTTCGTATTTGTTCATCTTCTATCTAAAGCAAAAGCTTCAGTGTTTCATTTAATTTGTTTTCAAATTTTTACTTTTTGGTGCAATTACTACCTTGAAACCTACATCAGTAATGCTCAAAATTCTTCAAAAAATACTGCAGTTTGATTTTTAGTCATGTACCAAAAGAAATATTGCACAAAAATATTTTCTTTTTTTTATCTCTACAGTTCCTGAAAAACTGCATCTTGTGGACTTGGATACAAATGTACTGGAGAAACCAAAACTACATGAATAGAGAAGACCTCAAATGGCCACTGTGATCTGTAACAGTCTATTTACACGTTATATACATATGACTGTTTGAGAGCCTGTATTCATGAATGTGTACAGTCTATGTACTGCACAAAGTTAATTTGTCTGAGGTTTTTTGTTTGTTTGTTTGTTTGTTTTTTTAAACTACTGTCAGAAACAAGAACAACCTTGTGGGGACACAGAAAACATGTGGTTACTGGATTTAGTCTTACCCTCCTAGTGCCACTGCCCATTAACCATGAACTGATTTTGTAAATCTCTCACTGAACACAGTATTTTCTGCATTTTTTCTTATTGCATTTGTACATGTAACAAATTGGTACAAATGTTTACAATAAAATGTAAAGTTCATTGACACAATGCCTTTCATGATGGCCATAACTGGTTACTAGCCAACTCTCTAGTTTTTTAGAGACATTTTCAGCTGAACTTGGAAAAATAGGAAATGTATTGTAGCTTAAAATAAATGTACATAATTTACAATATATATATTTATACATGTGTATGTCTACATACACATATATTGATATAACTTTTAAAGTAATGTTTAGTTTTGATCAGTTCTCTGAGTGCTGGGACTACCTGGCAAATAAATCTAGGAATGGAATTTGTCCACAATTAAATAATCATTTCCACAACTTAGAAAAATATACTTTTACTAAATAACATTTAAATTAACTGATTTATGGATATAGCATGGACAATAATGGTTTCCAGACTCTAGCATGATTAAATCTGAAAGAACCCAAGCTACTACAAACTGGTAACGAACGCTGCCCCGCAGCCAAACACAGAAGAGTGTGGAAATACAAGCTGCTGCTGCAGCCATCATCAGTGACACCCAAACCTTTTCTGGTTCAGTCACCTCTTATATAGGCTTCATTTCCACCCGACACAAGTCACCCACGCTCTGTTATTTAAGGCCCACTTCAACCACAACCACACAGCACCTGCCACCTTCTCCAAGTACTGTACTTGCTGTCTGATGTGAGCAGCTCCCCACTTCCACACAAATCTTGCCTTGAGAGCTAACATATGATCAAGGTCCCTAAGTAAAGACTTCAAGGACCATCAGTACTTGAGCTTCACCATACAGATTTTGATCCACTGCATAGGTAAATATATTACAGCAAAACGTGTGTGTGTGTGTGTGTGTGTGTGTGTGCGTGTGTGTATAAGTATATATACATAAACACACGTGTGTGTGAGTATATGTACTTCTCGATATAAAAAATTTCATGGAGCTATGTGTAGCAACGTGATGTACCATGGTATCCTGCATATGTTATCTGATTTTCTTTTAAATATATAGGCACCAGAAATAAGTATATAGAGCAAATCAACCTTTAAAAATCAGAGTTAAATCAGTGGACAAGAACTTTGGTAAAGCTTGTCAATATTTATTTTTTCTTTTTTATTCAAATACAGTCAAAGTCTATCAGTTGCCATCACCCTCTTCACAAGAGGAAAGTGCATATTTGTTTTTTTTTTTTCTAAAGAAAATTATACACAAAGTGGGGCTTAAGGATTCAAGAAAATTCTGAATGAAATCTTTACATTTTTCAAAAGATTACTATCTTTCTGATGGAATGAAAGCTAAATAGAGTTCTTGTCCTGTGTGTATTTTATTTATGGTATGCATATATATATAAAAATATATATATGTCTCTGTTTATGTACCTGTGTGTGTATATACACATCCACACACTTTTAACATGAGAAAGGAACCTGTTTTTCTCCACTTTGCATGTGGAGACTTACATGTTCCTCTGTGTCTTGTACCCTGTGCAGTATAATCTCTAGTGATGAGGCCAAACAAAAAGATATAGTTCACCATAGTATATTAGTTAATGTAGCAAAGTCATTTTCAAGCATGTAAAATAAAGCTCTGTATTCCAAACTTCTTTTCCTTTGCATTTCCCATAAAGAAAAGGAAGGAAAAGGAAAGAGGGGAGGGACTAAGATTATGGCAGTAGCATTGGGCCAGTGGCTGTTGTGCATGTGCGAGCATGCAAGTGCACCCACGCACACACACACACACACACACACACATATGTATGGAGAGCAGGGCTTTGGTTGACAAATGCAGATTGTCCAGAGAAGGTGGATGCATAAGTAAGGAAGACTCTACAATGATGCAATTGTATCTTTCATGTTTGCGTGGAGTGAGAAAACAAATTCAATTGGGGAGGGGAAAGCAAAGACCTCTTTTTAGGTCCCTCATCAGTGACAGCATACTCAGTATGCTAGAGAATTTATCTGAAACCTTTTAAATCAAGGCCTCTTTATTACAAAAATAAAAACGAACAAACAAAAAAGTATGAGAGACGACAAGATGCTGAAGTGTCACTCCAATCGTCCCTGCAGAGAACAATTGCATCCCACTTATTATTCATTCTCTTCTCTCATTTCTACGATGTCTGTCATTTCCTCTGTGTGAGGCATGTCGGTCATTGCAGAGTCTTCACCTTCTGTAGCTGTTTCATTCTCATTCCGCTTCTTTTTCTAGATTGAAACAAGCATTCAGAAACCTATCAGTAAGTTGTGCATGAACACAGTCCTACAAACTTTGGGCACTGGGACAAGCGAGGTGCAAATAATGGGTTTTTTTAGAGTGTGTTATTAAAAGCTAGAATATTTGTGTCATATTTGTGGCTTGTCAGTAATAAGTTGGCTTAACTTAGAAGGTTTCCATAACCTTCCTGGGGCTCAGCTTTCTCCTTTCTAACATAAATGCAATAATAGGGGCATTTCTTATACTAAGCAACATCCAAAACAGGCTTCAGCATGACTGGAGGGAAGAGAGCATCTGGAATCTTTTACATCACAGACCTTTTATTAAAAAAAAAAAAAGGAAAAGCAAACAAAATATGAGAGAAGATAAGCTCCTCTAGGCGTGGAGACAGAAGTGGCAACCTAATTTCTCAAATGTCAAACTTCAGGAATTTTACAAGATGTGAGCATTCTGGTTTTTCTTGGTATTGGTGACCCACTGTGACCCTCCACCCTACCAAAGCCAAGTAATATTAGAGTATTTTTGGCTAGCAGGAGCAGGAGGGCATTCAAGAGTCCTATGATTCATGCAGGGTGTCTTGGATTAGTAAAGCTAAGAAGCATTCAGCCCCACTACAAAACAAGTTGAAGCATCTGTTCCTTATTATCTGTTTCTCAGCAGGCTGACTGGTTTTACAGAAAACACTTGTACAGCTGACAAAGAATCCCCCACAGGTATTACTGATTCAGCTGAGTTGGGCATATCAGAGTTTCAAAATTTCAGAGGTGTCTACGCAACACTTGATTTGCAGCTCTCAAACGCCATCCACTTATTACCACTGTAGGTGAAAACAAGTTGGTGTATACAGCTAGCAATTGGCTCTGCCACCGTCACATTGGCTGTTGAGACAATGCTGTCAGCTACATACTAATTCTGGTAAGGGAATAAATTAGGTTGGCACAGTCATTATTACTGCTACCTGCACTCATCCCTGCAAAAAATTAAGCACCATGTCCCTGGCCAGAAACACTACGAGCTACTACTGTAACAAACAAGCGATGAGGGGGTTACTCCAAACAGATACATGTTGTGAAACCGCAGGCTAGGAACAGCCATTTCAGTGTCTACAGGTTTTACTCTTTGGTTCTCAAGAAAAACATGACAGACTAATCAGGACAGAGATCAAGGTCTTCTATTTTCTTATGAACCTTGTACACTTTGGTCTATTGCCATGGCCTGCACTGTTAATACATATCAAAACTGGGTTTAGTTTGTTCCAACATAAGGCTTTAAGATATTCCATCTTCCATATTTTTTTTGCTAAATACAGAAGCAGTGGGCGTCTTCACGTGGCCCTTAGTAAGAAGTCTAATTAAAAAAACCAAAACATAAATGCATAGATTATATTTTCTGCTCCCATCCAGACAGTCCTTCTGCACTATGGAATGATGCACACACCATGCCAGTGCCCTACCCAGTGCCTTGAACACGTAACTGGAAGGAAACAACATGCAGGTACTGTGATGTACCCAGTCACCAGCCAGTATTTATCCCGTGTTTGACTTCATTTAGTGGAATATTCTTTGAAATCCATGTATCACTACTACTCTGTACATGCAAGATTGTAGTGTGTGAAATATGTAAAAGTATGCCCATGAGAAATCCTCGCCTGTTTTAAGTATTTGTAAGCTCTTATCCTTTACTGCTGCAGGAGTAGATCTTGTTTTAAGCCACTTCTTTAGACGGCAAAAAAAAAAAGCAACTTTACTTTTTGTCCATTTTCAGCAGAGCTGGCTTTATAAAGAAATAAAAGTATAGATATAGATATTGATAGATATACATATACTAAGCTTGGATGAGTAGTTCCTATGACTACATAAAGAAGCTATGTTGTACTGCAGTAGCAGATCTACAGTGCAAAACAGGTAGTGGTAAGGAGATGGTAGCCGTGATACACATGTTTTGAGGAGCAAGAGGTTTACTTCAGACCAGCATGTCCCATGGCCTGGTCCCATGGCCTGAATGCCCACGAGCATCCAGGGCACCTTTTGGTTTTATTTCAACCCAAAGAATTCCCAAGTTGCACACTCTTTGAGACCACATGGGGAAGCAAACCAAATTCAGTAAGTGGGGATGCTGGGGAGTTACATTTCAAAAGTGTACTCCTAATCTGACTAAAAATCCACTATATTCATCAACGGCTTTCACCAGATCCCGCAAAGCCGAATTCTTACCTGTTTCCTATAGACATAACAGGCTGCTATTGCAACCATGGTGGATTCTCCTACAAAACCAGCTAGAAGGGATCCTACTCCAAGAGTGGCTCCATGAACTCTGTGGGTGGCATAAAAAGAAAGTAGTCATGGTTGTGTGAGAATGCATGATTCATAATTATATTTTCACTGGCATATAGAAACAATCTATTGTTAGAAAGATTTCCTTCAAAGACATAATACACTGGCAAAGAGAGTAACTGGTATTTTAAAGGACTGTTGTGTTTCTTAATGGTTTCACTGTTTAGTAAAAGAATCACATTCTGAATCAAATTATGGACTAAGAATTTAAAGTCTTGTACAGAGTGCTGTAGAATAGATTATTTAACTTATAGACAAGATATTCTTCTATTAACTTTCTTAACAGTGCATTTAATAATATGGAAATAAATTCCCCTTAGGACATGTTTTTGTCTCTTTGACATTTGCGTATTTTTTCAAAAGGGACATCATATCGTGCCTGCCTAGAGCCGTCACACTTGTAAATTTGTAAATGTTTCTTTTCCAGATATTGACACTATTCAGGCTTTATATTATGATTAGTATTCGGAGAAAATGTTCTGAACTATGCAAATTCAGCTATCAAGTGACAGGCAACGGCAATGAAGAGGAAAGCAAAGCCATCAGCTCTGCGACGAATAATATTTTACCCCAAGTAAGGCAGCACAATGAGACTCGCGATGAGTACGATAATCCGCAGCACGGAGCTGGGTGCCAACACAAATGTCTTCTTTAGAGTCATCAGCCAACCAGTCAAGTGCGCTCTGACAGTCACTGTTCATATACAGGGGAAGGGGAGGGGATGGGGAGAAAGGGAGGCAAGAGTAGTAAAAAAAGTCAGTCATCTCATATGAAGCTTTTTCATACAAAGAGCGCTGTTAGAAATAACCATGGTGAAATCCTCGTAACTTTGCATGCTGGAAAACCCTACGAGAAACAAAGTAGATCTTGTATCCAAATTGCTTTAATATACTGATTTTTGAAAAAAGAAAAAAAACGCCAATTATGGGCAGCAGTCCTTCCTAAGAGTTGCTCTCTTACAACCAATTTATTAGTCCATTCTGTTTTCTTCATTAAAAAAACCTATCCCCTTTCCTAAAGAGAAATCATACCAAGGAAAATTTTCCATCTAGCTCCTGTGTGGTACATGGTGTAACAGGCACAAAAAAAGGTATCTACATGTACATATGCTTATATTTGTAGTTTATCTTTATTACAAAACTATCTTGTTATATAAGCAGAAAACACATGATGTAGCACTTAATTACAGAAGTTAGATATTTCTTGAGAGGAAACATTTTGATTATTGCTGTCAAGCTTGTCTCTCTCTTGAATAGGGGCATTAACTTCTATTCTATATTGTTTATGCTCTGGTGATATCTGAAAGAGCCACTGATTCTGGTGGCAGAAGGGGAGACTTATGGAGGTGATGTTACTGTCGAGGTGGTCCAAGATGCTATTCCAAATAGTTAATTTCAGTCTTGGCACGCATGTATCGCTACTGCCATTCATGTGTGTGTTCTTGGTCAACTACAATAGACAGAATTCAGGCTTTACTTTTGAGAGTCAGAAATCTGCCTAATGACAGACTGTTCTTACTGCAACATTTGTATCCTGACTACCCATGTAAATAGTCTTGGTCTACACCACCTTCAATTAAAAAAGCGTTACTTATGCTAGGCATGCATTTAGCCACTCTTGGACCTACAGCCATGCCAGAATCTATGACCATGTCTCAGAGTTGGTTTGGTTTTGAGGTTAGAGAGTTTTTATTTTCTTGTTTTTTACCTGGAACTGGAAAGAAGGAGAAGATGCGCAAAGGAACAACACACAGCTCTGCAAAAGCGAAGTCTACTCCAATTATGTCAACTAAAATCTTCTCTGACACGTTTGGCGTCCAAAACATCACAAAACAGAGCTAGGAAGAGCAAAATTAAGAAATGTTTATATTTCAGAACGGAAGCACAACAAAAGATAGGCGCTCCTGGTCTAAAACATTTGTTTACTGATGGGTAGATAACTCTACTGATGATAAATATATGTATACACAATATTTATACTTAGCTTGCATTCAGATACACAGAGTACATAAGTGCACACAAGAGGCATGTTAACTTAGAAGCAATTCCTACTCTTCATGTTCCTCACACATCAAGACTGATGCATACAGAAAGAATTTTTACAGTGCCTGCAAATGGTTGTGCTTGAATGGTCTAATTGTTACAAAAACAGTAAGAAACTTGATTTTTACAGTACTTGCTCTGGTTAAGACACCCATATTCCTAAACAGATTATCAAATGTTTTAGTAACTAAAGATCTGAAGTACTCCAAGACCCAGAGATCTGACCCAAATCTAAGACTAGGGGTTTAAATGTACTGCTGATACTAGTACTGTTGGTATGTAATACACCTGATAGTAAGGCAAAGGTGTTCACCATAGTCCTGCACACATGGTGCCCTCGGGCCACAAATCCACTAAGTCTTGTTATTTTTATTAAAGAGCGTGCTGTTTCGTCCATACATGAAAGGAAAACTTCCATAAAAAACCCGCAACAAATGGTACAGCAGTAGTACCATACTGCTGCATTTGGCCAATACTGAGGCAGGACTTCAGCCTGAGCAGAGGGGGCTGTTGGCAGCTGGCAGGTCCAGCTTCAGTCCAAAGCACTCGCTGAAGAACAGTGCTGATAGCCCTTACAGGACTTCTCCTGTAAGAAGGGGTACCTGGAATCCTTTAAAGTATAACTACTTTGTTATTTAACTTGGTTTTGTGATTAAAATATTATTTCTTCCTGTTATTCTTGCAGTAGAGCAGATGTTCAGGAAGCGAGCTGACTGAACAGGGCAAAACTTAGGACCTTAAATGCTCTGGCACTCCTCTGGTCAGGTTACAAATCAGTGTACCAGGTAAATTATGTGCACTGGTTGTACAATCTGATGGCTCTGTAAGATTCTATAACCGCTCTCTTATAATTTAGCCTACAAGCTAGTATCATAGTATCTAGTTCTTTTTTTACCCAGTTGTCACATCCCTACATGTTCAGGTGGCTTTTAAAGCTAGTCTTTGAAGTCCTACCACCTCCAAGACAGCTGGGATTTCACTCTCATTCTTTGGTTGTGTGCCAGAGATTGTCCTTTCTGTTTAGCCTACAAGTAAGCAGCCCGCACAAGTTTCCCAAGGCCTGTGACGGAGTGGCCTGTGGGATATCTCACGTTCTGACTGCCTGTGCGCTGAACAAGACATTTCACCTTCCTGCAGAAAGGCTCATCTTCAGTTTTATTCTCCACTTCTTAGGGTAGGAAACACTATTTATTTTTCATGATTGAAAGTTTTACTTGACTAACGGGATGCTGTCTTGCAGTACATCTCTATCACCTATACAGAGAATAGTAAGTCAGTAAGTGGAGGAAGCTTAGAGCAGAAGACCGATGAACTGAGCATGGATTTTTTTCTGCTTCAGCCAGCACTTCTCGCTCCCTGCCAAAATACTTGTACAGGATACAACTGAAGCAGAGGGGACAATCTAGAGCAGAGAAGGTTGTGTGGTTGAGAATAAAGTTATTAGGACGTAACTGTACAGTGACAGAGCAAATTCTTTAATTGTTGCAGACACCATTAGGCAGACTGCAGTGATTTGTACTCTTACTGCAAATGACCTGTAGAGCAACTACACAGGACATATTTTGTCCAATCTTTCTTCAAAACCCAATAAACAAAATAAGATGCAAAGATGTCCATTCTTCAATTATAATTTGCTGTTTTCATGAAAGCAAAGACCTTTACACTGCTTGTACTGCACAATGCCTTTAGCATCCTACTGAGCAGTATAGTTACCGCTGCTGCAAGATTCCATGCGTTCATGCTAACAGCAGAGTCTGCCCACTTCTAGCAAAAGGCAAATAGAATAGCTTTCCTTCTTCAACAGCCATTCAAAAGAGTATTCTAACATGGTTAGACAGGCAAGCAAATAAGTAACCAAAAGCATTGCTCTCAATCTTGTTCTCTTTCAAGTTAAAGTTTGTTTCTGACCTTACTAACAACAGACTCACTATCCATCCAACTCCTACAGGAGGAAGGTCAGCTTGCAAAACAGGGGTAATGACTTATACCCAGGTGGTATGCAGTCAGTCCTCCTCAGCTGTTGCAAACCGCGGTCTCCCCTTCCCCTCCATCAGATGAGAGTCAGTGCTGATAAATGCCTTCAAAGAGCACTTCTTATATAGCAGCTGCTGGGTAAAGACAACAGTGACAGCTAAGCTCAAGAATAAGCAGTTTGAGGAGGTGAGGCATGGCAGCAGAAGGACCTTCTATTTCTGTCTCAGCATGTTTTCATCTTTTTGGTTGCAATATTGATAACTAGTTTCATCTTGCTAAGAGATTCCTCTCTGTCATCCTACAAGCAGATAATATTCTCATCGCCTACAGGGAACAAAGCTTCAGGAAAAGAAATTAATGCTTTGCATCATGCAAGCCTTCTGCAATTTAAGTTCTAGAGCACTTGCAACTTGGGAATATTCTGTTTTATTTCAAAGACAAATTCAAAATGTAGTGGATAAAAACCAGGCTCTACTTCAGGAAAAGAGCAACACTAAACATGCAAAGGAGGGAAGGTATTTTGGCTACTGATTTTATTACAGATGAGGTATATTGAAAATATGATGAAGTCAGCTTTTTTGTGATGCTTAGTGGTCAGTATGATGTTTGTGGTTACCTTGGTAAAGGGTGAAGACTGATCAGAAAGGAGACCAGAGAAGATGGTAACAGAAAAGAAATTAAAAGTAGCCCAGTGAAACAGGGAGCGTGGCACACACAATTAGAGATGGGTTCTCCTGGAGTAAGCAGTGCTAACTTCCTGGGGCGCAGATCAGGGAAGATGTTAGGAAATGGTTTTACCTACAGTATGTCTCCTATCTTTCTTTTAGTTAAACACTGTTTCCCCCTCCCCCTTACATCTTTCTGTGTGTCTGCAAGGTTAAAAATAGAATACATAGGCTTGGGTAGGGTTACTGTTATACCTTCATTTAATCCAATCAAGAGGTGAAGATGAAACAGTAAAAGTTTCTGCATGGGCAAACAATGTGCATGCATAATGGCACTGCAGCTTCAGGTTGTAATTGCAGTTGGCTGTGATGGCCTTCTACAGTAATGAACATTGTACTTGGCAACTCTGCTGAGGCGGAAGCATTTTAACGCTTCGGGAATATGGATTTCGCTTGCGGAATTCTAGCAACAGAGCTGATTTGATTTTCTGTTATCTTATGGTATGAGTACAGCATGATATTAAAGGATAGTTTTGCTAAAGCCTTTGATCATGTAACTGGAACTTCAACTGAACAGGGATGAGTGCTTTAAAAATACAGGAAAAAATGAAGATATAAACAGGAGAGTGGAGCACTACAGAGAATACATAGGCCTGAGTAAAGATAGTACTATTTATTATGGTGGTGGTACCTCTGTATACAAACAACAGTAGCTTAAGCATTTCTGAAGTATTTTAATCATTTGAACTGATTTGAAGGGTTGTGCTATTGGGTAATGTGACTTTAACTGATCTACAGTAGTAAAATTTGAAAGACTTCACTAAATATGTCAATAATTTACAGCACCCTAAGAAAATCAGTACAGCTGTACTAGATCATTTCAAAGCTCCAGCTAGATCAGCACTGACTCCCTGCTAAATAAAGGTCACTGGGGCTTCCCTAAGGGTAGGCACAAAGAGCAGGGCAAGTGCAGAGTAAGAGATGCCCTCCCCTGGCTGCATGGTCTGAGCTGCTGGCAGTTACAGCTTCAGGAGTTCAGTAACTGTGGTGCACCTTCATCCCATGCAGCATGATGTTGTGCATACAACATATCTAATATTAGTGATTTTTTTTTTTCAATCCAGTTGTGCATTAAAAAAAGTCAAAACCCCTCTCACTTGTGGCTTAGACACTCTCCGTGAGTAGGTGTGCTTACTTTCATGTGGAACCTTGATATTCTCAGCTAGCAAATTCAGTGTCTAGGCACAGTAAAAGGCTACACATCAAAAAATTCTGCTGTTGACAAGCCTGAGAGAATGCACCAAATCTTTGTTTCAGCAGGGAAAGTATCAAACTGCTAGTGCTCAGTCCAACTCTTCTTTAATCTCTTTTCTTAAGTACACTTCATGCATTTGACTTTCAGAAATGACTGACTGTTGAGGTTTTGTTTCAGATGCTGCATGTGTGAGTTTGAATGCTAGTAGTTCTTGAAAACTAACAGTCCTTTCATAGGCCCTGCATCTCCTGGAAGCTACTTCCATTTATTCTGGTTGCTGACAGGAATTACTAAACCTCAGAGACCCACTACATAAAGCATTATAATACATTATGCTAACAAAGGCTATTGTGTTGTGTATAGTAATCTGCAGGGTGCTAGACTGATTTGCTTTTTGGCATTTGTAGAAAGCTTCCTGTCTTCTGGGACATTCATCATTAAATATAAGGCACAAAAGAGTATTCCAGTGAGCTATGAACAACAGTACAGCATTTCTAGACTTCAGTGCAGTCTCCAGTTAAAAGAAACACTGCTTGATGACAAAGACACTATATGGCTCTATGTTCCTCAGAAAGAAGCTATGGAATCAAAAATGGATGTGTTTAAAAATAGGTTAGACATATACCAGCCTGGAATAAGACTAGAATAACAGATTTTTATGATGGAGAAGGGTACCATTAACCAGTTAAAGGTTCTTCTGTGATGGAATGCAGTTCATATTTTTCTCCTGCAACACAACTCTCAGCAGATGCTTCCTATCATTTGTTGAACTTGCTCTATTTGCAGAAGTATGGCTGTCCAAGAGAGGTGTTTTACCCTCAAAATATTATTCCGGGTTTTGAGGATTGCATCTTAACCAATTTAACACACGCTTTGTTCATGACCTCTCTATTCCCATTTA